CTTACCAGGGAAGTTGCTCATAGATTGTTAAGCAATGTGATATATGTCTGCAGTATTTGCCTGTGCCTCCCTTAGGGGTAAACCTTTGAGGCCTCCTTTCTAATCATTTATGGCAAATGGATGGTACTCATGTTGCAGATTTGGCAAATTAAAATATGTACAGGTGACAATCAATAGCCACCACACAAATTTAGGAAGCCACCAAGCATGTGATAGCTCAAGCTTAAAATGTTTTTCACATTTGGGGATTGCTAAAATTATAAAAATGGATAATGGATCCAGATATATTAGTAAAGCATTTCAGCAATTATGTTCCCAATGGAAAATACAACAGGCATTCCTTATAATCCTCAAGGACAAGCATTGCACTGGATTTGGAAAGGGCCCTGATGCTGTTTTGACATGGGGCTGTGGGCATGTCTGTGTGAAGGGACCAGCTCCCCTTTCGGCAGCCATAATAGCCGAACACGTGCTTGCCATAAACTTGCCTTGATCACTTAGAGGTCAGATGCCTGTCTCGTGACAAGGAACACATCAGAAGTTAGTAAGTCACTAGAAAGTCATATGCCTGTCTCGTGACAAGGAACCAATCAGAAGTTAGCTGGTGGTGCTATGCTTTATGACTCTGGGTGTGCTTTCCGGACAAGCGCATAGCAATGACGTAGAGAGCATAGCAACCACCCTGGGAGGGCCTATGGGCCATAACAATCAGTTGACCAATCAACACAGGGCAAGCCCTCCAAGCCTGGAGGCACATCAATAATGAGCCTGTGCGTACCCCTAGACACTCCCCTTACGCTGCCCTACAAGATCAGCTGGTTCGAGCTGTATTTTGCTAGCCATCTGCCATGGCGGGTGGGTGAAAGACCTGAGCTAACATGGGGTTAGCTCGTTAAATTACAATAAAGCCTCGTGCAGTTTGCATCAAGCTCTCGAATCTGCCTGGTGATTGGGGTGATCGCAGTCATAACCTGGGACCCCAGATACTTGAGTTTTCCGGGGGTCTAACAGTGTTTTTTCAAAGGAAGGAAATGAAGCTTGATGGCTGCCTGAGTGCCAGCCCTGATGATATTGTGGCTGCTGGTGCTCCCCAGAGGAGTTGGAGTGAGATTTCCTGAACCTATGCTCCTGATCCTCCAGTGTTACATCCTGTAGTCTGGGAAGGGAAGATTATAGTGACAGATAATGATTCCCAGCTTCTTGGTAGACTTTAGACTTGCTGCACCAATCTCCCAGACCTCTGTGAGTTTTAATTATTCTGGATCCCCCGCTGAGGAACGCCTGAATCTGTGACTGAGTTTTTGGCTGTTTATCCACACCAGATCTTAGGATGAGGACGTCACCTTTGCCAGTATAGTGTTCATCTGCTCTTGAAATAGAAAGCCTGAAGAAGAGGTGCCTCCTAGATTCCTCCTCTGTGGGGAAGAGACTCATTGGAGCAATCAAGCACTATTATGGAGGCAGTGTGTGGCTAAAGCCCCTCTTCAGTATAATATCACCAGAATTCAGAAATACGTGCTACACTGGTCGGAAAGCCAAATTAGAGGTACTTAAGAGGTCCCCCAAACTGATGAGGGAATAAGGTTTTATTGCTGGTATTTGGTACTCGGGGGCTGGAACAGCTCGACATACTTTGGAAGTCAGTAGCAGCAGTGCATTGGATTTGGGGGGAAGGAAAAGAAAAGGTTCAGAATTATGGAGTTACTCATACCTCACCCACCACGAAAACATTTTCTTGTCCCTTGATTGGATTGAAGTTACAAGATTTGTAATTTAACCAATTTAACCAATTGTGTGTCCATTGTTAATAATCATACTAGAATTATGGTATTAACCTGTTAATATTTGTAACCTCTTCTGTTCACAATGAAAGTGTTATGGGAGGCAGAGGCAGGTGTATCTCCATGACTTCAATGCCACCAGCCTGTTCTACAGAGTGAATTCCAGGACAGGCTCCAACACACACACACACACACACACACACACACACACACAAAGCGTAGGCCACAGTAACTGGCATTTTTCTTAGTATAGAAATTTAATAAGAACCAAATCATAAAATCCCCATCTCCTTCTGAGGCCAGGGACAATCAGGCCATCTGGGCAATCACCATTCCAATCCTTCTGAGTGCTGAGGCTGGAGAACCAGTACTTAGGTTCTCAAGATGCTGTTGATCCCTTTCTTGTATTTTTGTTTTAGTTTTGTAATTTTGAAAAATATCTTACGGGGGCGGGTTGGTAGGGGAGGAAGGGAGGGAAAAGGGAACTGGGATTGCCATGTAAATTAACCTTGTTTGTAATTCAAATAAAAAAATAAGAAAAAAAGAAAGAAAAATAACTTACATTGAAAGTCACCTGTGGCTCATAAGAAGAAAAACTAAAATCATCCAAACATAGATTCTTAAATTCCATTGCACCACCTCCCTTTTACACCCCCACTGGCTTTATTTTTGCATGTATCCCCCAGGCCCGAACTGGCTTAACATTTTAATGACCTGTTGGGCTTTTAGGGTTTACTGTGCTGATTATATTCAATCTTTCTGCATCTCTTCTGTAACTAAACCTAATTCTTGATTTTCGCTTCCTTGTTGGCTTGTCCTCTTTGGTTTTAGGAGTTTTTTGTCTTGTTTTTTAACATTTGTCATTGCATTTTCTTTCACTACTTGTTGCAGTTCTAGCAATGGGCATAACACTTGAATGAAGCTGATGCTACAGAACATAATAGAAGCCAGTGAATGCCATGTGGTGCTGGCTGGGCTGAGGCCTCAGGGGCATTCTCTCGAGTTGAAGGATCGGCACTCCCAGTGTCTACAATGAAGGAGATCTGTCTTCATAATACTGAACTTGCCTTTTAGGGGAAAAAGACATTTCAGGAAATTTGCATAAGGCCATTGTTTTAGGAAGATAAGGCATTTATGTCTTTCTTATGGGTTAAGTTCTTTGTAGTCAATAAACTATTGATGCCACAGAGATGGGTGTTATTCCTGGTTCCCAAGTCTACCATGTAGTTACTTTCAAGCCTCGTTCAGATGATCTTGCTAAGAGCTATTCTGCGTGCACCTAGAGGTGTTTAACTATCTTCTCCCAACACTGTTGTGTGAACAGTGCTTTGTGAAGTGCAAGTTATTTTGTCCCATCAATTGTACTAGTTGTCTTGTATCCATGACTTTATCAATCTTCCAAATTCAGCATATTATAATCCTGCTGCCATTTCTGTAGAATGACTGTTTGCAAGTTTGTGTCTTGTAAATATCTTCTCCTACTTGTGTGTCTATGTGAGCTCTGAGATCAGATATGCTCTGGGAGAGCCCTAGGGAATTCTACTTAATAGGGAGATTGAAAACCCGAGGTTCCTGAGCTCCCTCGCCATGTCTGTGCCACATCTGGCCTCCACCACCGAGTTTCTTGTGGTTATGCTGTTAATGGTAAAGTCAGGTGCCTTCAATGCTAAAGACTCAGAAATCTTTCTTAAACTGATTTCATGACCTACTCAAGTGTTTTCTACAACCTGCATAACCAGAACTTTGTGAAACTTGTTTACACTTCAATTGCACATAGTGTTTTTTAAAGGAATATATAGTATACTTTTATTTAGGTACCTCCAACCTTGAACTTGTCTGTGTGAAGCATTAGAAATGATGCATTTCTCTTTTGAGGACATCACAGTTGTACAGAGGTTCTCACTGGATCTCTTTTTCTACTGTTACTGACAAGCATGTAACACTGACTTTACCCTACATGTAGTTGGCATTTCAAATAAACGGCTTGTATAGAAGAGAGAGAGAAGGCATGGAGTTGAGTAGGTGGAAAGTTGGGGATGATCTTGGAGGAAATAGGGGAAGGGAACCATGGTCAGAATATATTGCATGAATTTTCAATAATAATAAAGTAAAACATGGAGCTACTTGGCTCCCATGACTATACACACACACATGCAAGCACGCACACACGCAGGTACACACACATGAAAACAAAGGAGGAAGAAGAAATAAACAAAAAGATGCTAAAAATGAACAAGATTATGTTCCATTCAGTCAAAAATATAATAACAGAGCTAACATTTTTCACTTCTCTTGTAATATTTATTTTTAATTATGTGTCTATGCATGCATCTGTGTAGGGGTATGTGCACATGAGTGCAGGTGCCCACAGAAGCCACAAGAGGGCTTCAGACCCTCTGGAGCTGAAGTTACAGGAAGTTGTTAGCTTCCTGACAAGAGTGCTGGGAACGGAACAATTGTCCTCTACCAGAGCGGTACTCACTCATAACCACTGAGCCATTTCTCCAACCCCAAGATTTCTACTGGAGGAGCCCTTTTGCTGTAAACAACTAAAAACTCGTCATACTAACATGCAGGAAATCACTATTTCCAGATACTGGACAACAAGCAGACTAAAACTTTGGGCCAAGTTAGGGAGCTGGGAAGCAGATGGTGAGCTTGTGGCCCCCGAGGCTTTCTTTCTAAAGATTATTCCACAGAGCAGGGAGGAGAGTGTTAACGAAGGTATGGCAGTCTACCCACATTGGAGAAAGATATCTCATTGCAACTTGTGGGTAGAGTATGAAGAGGCCAGAGGAGAGACAGACAGACAGAGACCCAGAAACCTGCATGGGATTCCTTGTGCAGGGGTAGTGTCCTACAGGCACCAACAGAAAGCTACCCAAGTTCTCATCCTACGGTGAGCAGAACATAGAATCCCTGTAAAAACTGATGAGATGAACGAGAGAGTGGAGCAGGAGACCCTACCGGCCCAGAGGGGTAGGAAGAGAAACGGACCCCATCTGCACCCAAAGAAACCCATGCAACACCTGGGGTGACTTAAGAGGGCCCTGCTGTTCCTGCAGACCCCCTACTGCCATCTGCACAGTCACTGCAAAGCCTGTAGAAAGTGTGCCTGTAGGGACAGAAGGACCCAGAGGGAAGGAGGGCCAGTCCAGGGAGATGTGTGAAGGCAGCCACAGAGACAAACAAGTTTCTGTCCATTCAATGAGTATTTATTGAGGACCTGGCTGGGCAAGCATGTTGGAGGTGCTGAGGGGTCACAAGCATGCCGGTTAAGGGAGGGCTTATCTTTAAGAAGCCATCTTGTTGGAGGGACCACAGGAGGCCAGCATGTTTTAAATCGTTAAACGATGGGGATGGGGTGGTGCCAGGACATGTGAAGCCCTGAAGTGAGTCCGAGGCTCTGAGAGTCTCAAGAAGGAAAAGTCAGCTCTGGTCCATTCAGGCTGCAGCCTGACCTATGGACTTCTTGCATACCCAGGGGTAGGCAGCCCCACAGATCATGTCATTCCACTGTTGCTGCATGTGGACACAGTCTTCAACCTCTCCGCTCGAATGTCTCCAGTTGTCAGGCTGATTTTTTCCCCAAAACCTGGAAGCAACATGACTTTACTCTGCTAGAGAAAGCAGGATTCCTTTCCCATGCATAAAGAGAGACATCAGCACGGAACAGGACTGGGGACAGAGGAGCCCTCAGGGGGGCCCTGCTGAGGCTGCTCTCCCTCTGTTACTGATGACCCAGCGTATGCAGGGGCATTCTCCACAGAACTCACACTCGGAGGCTCTCCATTGAAGGGCAAGGGTAGGCAGCAAGCAAATGGACAGATGAAATCAGAAAAACAGGAAGGCAGCTGGCCTGCCAGCCCCGGGGCCTGTCCTTTCCTGATGCTGTTCTGTCGGCCTTGTAGGTCCACATACTACACGCCATGTCACACACCACAAACATTGCACACCACACATCATACATGCCACACTCATCACATCACACCACATTACAGTATAGATAAGCATACATATACACCACATGCGCCTATCACATACACACTGTATATGACACACACACACACACACACACACACACACACACACACACACACACACACACACACACAAACACACAACACTCACTGGGCAGGACCATACACATAGGTCAGTAAAGCCTACCCAAGACAGTGCCCAGAAGTGCTAGACAGAAGTTAGACTCACCCATTGCTCAGGGCAGGATTGAATGGTGTCCCATCTACCCATCGCCAGTTGCCCTCCATGCCCTGGTCAGTGAGTCCGATCCAATGGTGCACAGTACTTGTGGACTTTACCAGGAATGCCTTGCAAAGGAAATAGGGCTGTGAGGAGCTGACTGTCTGGACCATCCCTTCCCTGACCCCTGAGCAGGAAGCCCTTCTCGTGCAGGAGCTTCCAGAACCTTCCACGGCTTATCCAATATCTAGAGCAGAAGGTAGATCCCTCTAGGGAAGCTCAACTTCCCCCATATTGACTGTCTTAAATAGCCTGAGCCCTTGAGAAGGGGTGTGGCTTTGCTGGGACAGTTGTTTTCATCCTAGTTTATTCTTAGCTGAGCTGTAACAAGTCCTGGGAGAGCAGCAATGAATGGATAGTTCTTCAAGTTCAACCAAACTAAACCTTGCATAGTCCTCTGTTAGCCTAGTGAGTTCCTTCCAGGCCCTGAGAAGAAGGCCCTGTATTTCCTCTGAGAGTCCTCGGATGTTTATGAGTGAGTCAATCTCCCAGAGGGCCAGGGTCTCCTTTTCATCAGCCTTCCACAGCCACTGGATATTTCAATCCAGACTGATGCCCAAAAAGGAAGGCTGACAGGAGCTGAGAGAGAGCAAGAGAGGCACATCCCCTAGATTGAAGAGTGGGACAGGTGTCTTTTTCTTCCTTTCCTACTGGCATCTGCTGGGTCCTGGTCTTCCCAGAAGTCTTCCTCCTTCACTGAGCAAGTGGCAGTAGCTGGCAGGGCTTGCACCTCAGTACAGAGTTCTCTTGGGAACTCAGGAAATACTTGTTCCTTGCCTTATGGAGACATGAGGAGCTCCACCAATCATTAGGAGGACAAAAGGCTAAGTTTGTATGTCCCTAACCATACACCCCTCAGCCTGCCCCAGGCCCACAGCTCTGACCTGCTCTCCCTGAGAGGTCACCGACGCCAGGTGTGCTCCCTGGGACACACAGAACTTCTCAGCCTCGTGCCACGACTTCTCCTCATGAGAAAAGTAATACAAGCTTCCACGGAAGACCTTCCAGCCCTGCAGGATCAGCTGGAGAAGTTCATCTAGAACAAAGATCGGAAGGAAGGAAGTGTCAGTGATGTCCCAAAGCCAGCCTCTACTGTGCGAGGTCTAACCTTGGGTGATCACAAGCCTTGGCAATTCACAATGCTCAGTGCTCAGGGCTGGGACACTACAACCTAGTCCTATTGCCCCAGCCTAGAAACAGTCTTCCAAGACACCTGGTTGTCTCTGTCACTCCTGGGGAACCTCAGCTTTGTCACTCATCAGCACTCTTTGCAGAGCCTGCTTTGGGGTATACAGCCAAACTGTCTCCACCATTTCAGTACACTTCCAGACCTGCAACCTGTAACCTCCTTCACTTCCTGACTTCATCTCCACCCACAGACTCTAACTCCGTAAGACTGTTCAAACTGGAGAAGAGAGAACAGGATGAAAGCATGTCTTCCATTTTTAAACTTATTTATTAGAAGGGCATCACGTACAAGTGACACAGCAGGCATGTCATACGGCACACCTGTGGAAGCCAGGAGATAACCTGCAGGAAGCAGTCCTCCTTTCCCACCCTGTGGGTTCTGACGATCAAACTCAGGTTGTCAGTCTTAGGGACAAGCACTTTACCTGCGGAGCCACTTGACCCACCCAGGAAGAAGACGCTTTTAATCAGGCAGAAACATCAATGACAACACAGGAACTGAGGTCTCAGTGACAGATGGTGAGTGTGTGAAGCAGGGATTCTCAACGTGTGGTCCCAACCTGGCTGAGCCAACATCGTTAGGAAACTGGCTGGGATGCATGCTCCTTCTCTGCTCAACTTCCAAACACCCTTTAACACACAGCATGCATGCACGGTTCTCTCTGCCCTGTGGCTGCTTCTGGCATTGTCTGGGGTCTCAGGCTGAAACAGAGATGAACAAACTGCACCCCAGCAGCCTCTTTTTCCAAAAGTCTTACCAGAGCATAGCCCTGTGGGATCCATGATGCTTCCTCGATATGGCAGCAGGAAGCATCTAACATCTAACAGAGACCCTACATATAAAGAAAAAGTTCAAGGGCTTGGGATATGGCTCAATCAATTATGTGCCTGCTGCCCCAGCATGAGGACCTAGTTCAACTCCCAGTAACTACATAAAAGCCCAGTGTGCTGCATGGTGTGCCCATAATCTTAGTGTTGGGAGGGAGAGTCAGGCAGGTCTCTTAAACTCATTAGCCAGTCAGCTTAATGGAACTGACGAGAAACATTGTCTCCAAAAATAAGGTGGGAAGGGCTGCAGATGTACTTCAGTGGGTAAAGTGCTAACCTATTATACAGAAAATGCTGAGTTATGGCCATAGTACTACATAAACTGTACTGTAAGGCACTTCTGTGTCAGAACTCATGGAGGTGAAGACAGAAGAATGAGAAGTTCAAGGTCATCCATGATTAGATAGCAAGTGTAAAGAGAGATAGATAATGGCTAGATGATAAAACAGGTTGAGTGGGGAGAGACTGAGGTAGAAATCTGGCCTCTATACTCACGTGCACTCGTATGTAACTTGTACATACATTACACACACAGAAGAGGAGGGGGAGGAAAGTGCAAGGCATGGCTGTCAGCCTGACTGCTACCAGAACCACCTATTAGCTTTTCCTAAGGTCCTAATCTTCCTTCCCAGATGCTCAGTTAAGCAAAGGGCTAAAGGGTCAGAGGCCATCATCTTCCCCAGAGGCTGCCCCTCCCTAGATTCACACACACACACACACACACACACACACACACACACACACATCACTTACTCTGAGTCCTCTGCACCTGCCCCTGTGAAGCCATAGCTTGCTGCAGGGCCCCCAGGCGACTCTGTTCCTCTTGAATCTTGGCAGTGAGAGTTTTGGTAGCCTCCAGATCAGTTTTCAAACTCTGCACCTCTGCCTTGGCCTTCTGAAGATTGCTCTGTAGCATCTGGATCTTGGATTTCAGAGCTGCGACATCCCCCAAGTCTCCTTTCAGAGTCTGTAACTCTCTGATGGCATCTTTCAGTTGACCACTGACCGCCTCGATATGGGAGGTTAAGGAACTGGTGCTTTTCAGCTTGGCATTTAACACTTGGATCTGGGCATCTGTCTGCTCCAGGTGGCCGTTTGCCTTTTGAGTCTGAGCAGTGACTGTTTCCAGATCTTTCTTTAATAAGCTCATTTCATCACCAGCCTTTTCCAGATGAACTCTCATGGCCTTCATCTCAGCAGTAGTGTTGTCAACACTGCGCTGGAGAAAGTTCTGGGTCTGGGAGCTGAGGTCATTTGAACTCTGTAGACTTCCTCTCAATGCCTGGATCTCAGTCTGGGCTTCCTCCAAGCCTTTGCCCAGCGTGAGGAGTTCAGCACTGGTGTTTTCTGCACTGCTTTTTAAGAGACCTTGGGTCTGGGAAGTCATGGCATTTGCTTTTTCCAAATCTCCTCTCAGACTATGGATATCAGCGCTGGCCAACTCCAATGAGTTTCTCAGTGCCTGGGTCTCCAAAGCCAAGGAACCAGAGTCCTTTAGCACATCTTTTGCCTGCTGGATGTCAGCACTGGCATCCTCCAGGTGGTCCCCGAGCAACTGGACCTGAGAACTAACATTGTCCATTCTGTACTTCAGTATCTCTATATCCTTGTGCAAAGTGCTAGAATTCTCTGCATAGCCCCTAAACCTCCACGTAGCCTCTTGCTTTTCTGCCACACTGCCAGAGTGGAAATCATCTGAAAAGAGGAAACAGGAGGTACCTATAGAAACCCATTATGTAGGGAAGTTCAGATGGCAAATCAGATTGTTCCTTAATATTTTGGGTTATGATAGTTAACACTGTCAACTTGGAAGTATCTTGAATCACCCAAAAGACAAAACTCTGGGTATGTCTATAAGACAGTTTTCAGAGAGGTTTGACTGAGATGGGATGACCCACCCTGAATGTGGGCTGTACCATCCCATGGGCTGGGGGTCCTAGACTGAATAAAAAGGGCAAGAGCTGAGCACCAGTGTCATAGCTCTCTGCTTCCTGACTGTTGACACAAATGTGATCCACTACCTCAAGCTCCTGCTTCCATGCCTTCCACCTTCTGGCCATGTTGAACTGTGCCTTCCAACTGAGCCATGACAAACTCTTCCTTAAACTGCTTTTATAATGTGCTTGTTGCAGCAGTATGAGACATTATAGAAACCTCCACTCACAGCTCTGAGTGGTCCTAGAGCAGCCAGCTGGTCCCTGTTGCTTCCTAGACTCTGGGGATGGATCACCCAAGAATGCAGGCCTAAAAACAAGGTGGATGAAGAAGCCTGCTGTCTGCTGCATACTGCTGTAGGAAAAATTGAAGCTCTGGCCTGGGTTCAGTTCCCAGCACTACTCAGAATATTTTTCACAGATCACATAACTGAAAGGGGACTAAAGAGAGAACATATTTTTTTATCCCTTTTTGTATGAACCTCTATAAATAAACTGCTCTTTAGTCATGACAGGCAGTGGCTACCTGAGGTTGAAGTCAGGAGGGAATAGAAGGGATCATCAAGATTGCAAGTGAACCCAGGGTGGCGGTTGGTGATGGTTGGCTCCTCTCCTTGACCGTAGAGATGGTTTCAGGAATATACTCCATTACCAGGATTTATCAGATTGTAGGTTTTAAGTGTGTGCCCATCATTTACACCTAATATACCTCAATAAAGCTGTGCTTAAAACAGAATAATTTGGGTTTGGGGATATAGCTCATTGATAGAATACTTGCTTGGTTTACACAAGATTATGGGTTCAAATTGGGCGTTGGTGGCACACGTCTTTAATCCCAGCACTCGGGAGGCAGAAGCAGGTGGATCTCTGTGGGTTCAAGGCCAGCCTGGTCTACAGAGCGAGTGCCAGGACAGACTCCAAGGTAATACAGAGAAACCCTGCCTCTAAAAACAAAACAACAACAAAAGATTATGGGTTCGCTCCCCAGCACCACATGATCTGGGCATGGTGTCACACACCTGTAATCCCAGGACTAGAGAGGTGGAGGGAAGAGGATCAGAAGTTTAAGCTCATCCTTAATGTTTTTTTATTTGAAGCCAACCTGGACTGCATGAGACCCTGCATCAAAAAGTAAGTTCAAAAGATTTTCGTTTAAGGAGGGTGGGAGTTAGAACTAGGATGTGGCAAGAGAAGTTGAACCCAGGGCCTCTGTTCCCCAATACCCAGCTCCCCAGCCCTGTCCTCACTGTGACTACTCACTGTAGGGCTCTTGTTCAGCAGAGTTGTTTCTCAGAGTCAAGGGTTGGGAGGAATGATCTTCATTCTGCTCGTGTCTCCAAGGCTGTAAAGCTGAGATAGCCATTCTTGGGTCAGCTCCATCTGTGGCTCTGACATGACAGGCTGACTCACACCAGCTAGGGTCCAGAAAGAGGGACGGGCAACAAGGACCACCCACACACAGTTTCCCTGGAAAGTCTCTATTCTCTTGAGCCATTTCACAGCACAATGGGCTCCAGATCTGGGCCTAGATTGGTGGTAAATTGTTGCTTCAGAAAGCACACGTGTCCAGAGGATGGCCCTTTGGATCCTTTGGGAATTTTTCACAGAAAGGAGAATTGGTGGTGGCTCAAGTCACCTGAGAACTTACCCACCAGAAAAAGAGCCAGGAGAGAGAAGAACACAGCCATGAGTGTCAAGATGGCCTGGACATGTCTCAGCATCCTGGGAGCAGCTGGTATAAAGTCCAGTCCTACAGGGGAGAAGCAGAGGTCTGTGGAGGTGAGGGCTGGGAGGGCTAAGACTGTCACATCCTTCTCACAGGGGAGTTACAGGCTGGAAAAGGAAACATTCTCAGTGGACAAGGCAACAGACAAAGACCAGGGCCTCATACCCCACCGAGGCTGTAGTGGTGTCCTAGACACAACACCTACCCTAGAGGGCCTGGCTACAGAAGTGTGATCAGAATGGAAGAAGAAAGCAAAGGAGGGAGGGAAGGAGATGAAAATAAGGCACAGAGCAGGGGCAGGTGAAGCAATCCAGCCCCCTGGGGTGGATGGTTGCATTCCCAGAGCCTTCCATAGAGCTTGAACTGTTGTCACGGGTGTCCTTGCCTTCTAGGGACTGGGTTTAAGGGGCAAGGGTGCACCCACTAATGACCTCAGAACTCACCAGCCCCAAAGGACACAGGGGGTAAGCATTCTACAAAGCTGGGGTTCAAACCCGGTCCCATCTGAACTCAAAATGCACCTTCTTCTCTCATAGGGTTACTAGACCCAGTGGAGGGGCTCTTGAAGGTTCCATGTAAAGGCTGAGGCTCTCAGAGTTCTGGGTATCTGCTGACCCATTTATTCTGCCATGACCTGTTTACTAAGACACTAAGGTGGGCATGAAATGGGTCTCTGACTGTCAAGGATGGGCTCAGAGGGCAGGTACAGGCAGGGACCCTAAGTGTCCTCACCTTGGGGCTGTAGGGAGACACACTGGTTGTCTTTGTAGAATCTAGCCACATCTCTGTTCAACTCTGCCTCCTTCATCTTCTGGCGCTGCTCCTGCCACTGGTCCCCAAGGGTCTGTCCTGTGAGTCAGCAGCAGTGGGAGCTGAGACAACTGATTTATGTTCTCCTGAGGAGGTCATGACCACTCCCCAGCCCTGCCTCCTCCCTTCTGACTCTGCAGAAGCCCAGTGTCGCCACTGGCCCCTCCTCTTAGAGTACCAGCGGCCAAGAGCCCAACAGCCCTCTTACTCTCTGTCCCCCAACAGCCCTCTTCCTCTCTGCCCCTCCCCCCTCAGCACCCTTCATGCCACCCTCTACCTCAGAGTAACACACTCCCCAATCCTGATCAACGGAGTCTGAGACAGGCACCTAGGAAGGGGAGTGCCAACCTTATAGAGTAAACAACTTTGTAGAGCTCAGGAAGTGTCTCAGTCAGTAAAGTGCTTGCCACACCAGCATGAAGATAGGGGTTTGGATTCCCCAGCACCCACATCCAAAACCAGGCATGGCAGCATGTACCTATAGTCACAGCACTGGGGAGGTAGAAGCAGGGAGAGCCTTAGAACTTTCTAGTCAGCCTGCCTTGTTTAATCAGTGAGCGCTGGGTTCATCGAGAAATTCTTTTTCAATAGAGGTGGAAAGAGAATGAGGAAGACACACAATATTGACCTGAGATTTCCATTAGGCTTGAGATAGCACTTGGGAGGCAGAGGCAGGAGGATCTCTATGAGTTTGAGGCCAGCCTGGTCTACATAAATGAGTTCCAGAGTAGCCAGGACCACATAGTTAGACCTTGTCTCATAAACAAACACAGTGCACGAGGTGGGAAGGATTTGCAGGAAGAGCAAAGGGTGACTGCCATTCAGAACTCCAGAACTTTGCAGACAGATCACAGAAAAGGTCTTTGGCTGGGTCCTGGTCCAGAGTTCCTGCAACCCTGACTCCTGACTGACAGGAGCACCCCTGGTTATACATAATGAGCTTTCTCTGAGCACACCTGAGTTCGTGTTGGTGAGCTAATTCAGGTTCTCTCTAGATAGCCACTGGTCCCAGAAAGACCATTTGTGATTGGAAGCCTGCATCCTCCCTCCCCTACTCTCAGACATCCCTGTGAGAGGCCCTTCAAAGGGAGTCATAAGCATTCTAGCACCTAATACAAGGTAGGGATCAGGCTGTGGCCCGGTTGGTAAGGCACTTGTCTGATACTCATAAGGCCATGACTTCCATCCCAAGCGGCCTTTAAACAAGGTGTTGGAATACATTCTAGTGATCATACAACTCAGGAGACAGTGACAAGAAAGGATCAGAAGTTCAAAGTCATCCTCAGCCGCATAGAGAGTTTGAGGCCAGTCTGGGACACATGAGACCCTGTCTCAAACAAACAAACAAAAACTTGAACAAGAAAATGTTGTGTGATTTCAATCTGTTTAGCCAATGACTTTTGGGGCATCAAGCCCCAGGGCTTGGTCTTGTCTGCCTACATGACAGCTTAAGGGCTAAGGGAGAGAGTCACGCTCTCTCTTGCTCTCATGCTCTCTTGGGTGGTTGAAGCAGAGCAGGCAGCGTGAGGTTGGTGCTCTTCACCCCTGGGCAGAGCAACTGGATGAAGGCAGCTGAATCACTGGCAGTGTCTAATTGGTTCTGTATCAGTGAGTGTTTGTTCCTCTCTTATACCTAAATAAATTCTTGAGACCCTTTAACAGACTCTTGTGGCTTCACATAACAACAGCTGTGGTGAGACATTGGATAGCAGAAAAAAAAAACAAAACAAAACAAAAAAAAAACTATTGAACTAAAGCAGCCTGTGTACATTAAGGATGTGTTGACCCCAGAATGGAAACCAGGATATGTGTTATGTTGGGGAAGGAGTTTTACTTTTGTTTCCACAGAAGAAGAAAAGCTATGGATAGCATCAAAATTAATAAATTCGATGTGAACAGGAAAGATCTCTTACTAAGGAGAAGTGATAGTTGATAACTGAAGTGGCAATTCAACATGTTGAAAAGAAAACTCACCCTATAAAGGCTGGGGCAGGGTTCTGGGGTTTTTGTTGTTGTTGTTGGTGGTGGTGGTGGTGGTGGTGGTGGTTTTCGGTTTTGGGGTTTTGGGTTTTTTTAGGGGGTGTTGTTTGTTTGTTTGTCTTTATAGAAAAATAAAAATACTCATCTTAAAAAAGTCAAAAGACCTTGGAAATTTAAGCATCTAAAGAAGAAAGGAAAACTATCTGGTAAAAATTACCAGTCAAAAAGAAATCTGACCTAGTGGTACCAATATTCTCTACAAGGTAAAAATTTCACTACCTAAAAATTAATGTCTCTTTATTTTTAAAAAAGAATGAAGTCCCAACTCAATTAGTAAAGCTGGCTTTGGAGTTCGAGTGTGGCTCTCTCCTTCTCTAAATCCAAGCATGTTAAAGGAAAATTCAGAGTCTCTGTCTCATATCAGACTGGTGTGGGACAGAAGAAAACCAAAACCTAAGGACTATTGTTTTCACAAATCTCTTTCCTTTCATACTTAGTTTTTACTCTTTTGAACCTTTCTTTGAAAAAAAATATATATATATATATATATATATATCTTAAAATTTAAACTTTCTGTTTTGTTATTAATAATGTTAAGTTTTCCATAGTGAACAATAAATTTTCCTAACAGTGATCTCTGAAGTCTCCAAAAATATGATGGGGTCCACAACTATGACTCTACCTGGTCCTTATAATGTCATTGAGCCAATAACCACCACTCAAAGATCTGTTTTGGACTATAAACTGCTCAGGACAATTCCACGGTGGCTAGCTAGATGGTTCACTGTAGTGATATATTATTTAAGATTTATTAAAGCTTGCCTGAGAATTCAGAAAGCAAAGTCAGCCACAAGCCATAGAAGCTAGGCACACACCTTTAATCCCAACAGCAAGAGATTAAAGCAAGGAGGTGGTGGTACACACCTTTAATTCTAGGACTCAGGATTAAAAGTTAGACAGATCTCTCTGAGTTCAAGGCCACTCAGGGATACATGAGATTAAGTCAGTCTAAAAGAGAAACAGAGTTCACACCTTTAATCCCATTATTAGTGGGGTATATAAGAAAGGAGAAAAGTCAGTATCAGGCATTCATTCTCCAGCCATACTAAAGATAGGAGCATTCATTCTCCAGCCACGCTGAGGAGAGGCAACAGGATCAGTCCATTCAGCCTAAGGTAGTGGTAAGAGCTAGTAGCCTGCTACTTTGCTTTTCTGAACTTCAGGCAAGCTTTAATAAATCATAAATAATGTATCACTACAGTCAACCTTTTTATACCACTCTAGCCAGAACTTCAGGTAAGTTTTAACCATTACTTGGAGACTGGCTACAAATGTTACAGCTAGTCTTCATGATACTTAAACATTGCTTTAGTTTTTTTTTACAGGATTCTGTAGAGATATTGTCACCCCTTAAATAGCAGGAAACAATTCTAAGATTACCATGCCCCCTCTTCCAATAGGTGGGATGAATGGTTTGGGGGTTTTCTCAGAGTATGGATAATTGTCATCTGCAAGGGTTGGTTGTGAGTTGTTATAGGGATAGGGACAGAGCAATAAAGACTATACTCAAGAATATCATTTAAAATAGAAAAAAGAGGATAGATAGGATAGGACAATAAGGTAGATTATTGTATCTTTTAAATTAAAATAGCAGCTATTGGTTCTAGATAATTTGCAATGGTATGGATTCTTGTATATTGATATAAATGTAAAAGTATTTTCCTATTCCTGTTTAAGATAAATTGTATATTATTACAAATATGCAAAATTATGTTTGTCATATGGTATATATGGTTTACTTCTGTTTAAAGTATTTTGGTAAGACTATTTTTGTCATATTGTATATATGTTTCTACTTCTGCTTAAGATATTTTGTATATTGATGCAAATTAAGGGTATTTTTGTTATATTGCACTATACATTTCTATCTCTGGTTAAGATTTTTTGTATATTGTCGCAGTTTCAAGGTCATTGTCCTTACTACACATCTACTTACAGATTTTTTATTTTTGTAGTGTGAAGCTTTAGTCTTCAAACTACATAGGTTATTAAGAATTACAGAGTAATAGTCCCCCATGTTTGTCATATTTATAGATATATTCGTTAGGCTTTCTAGATGCACAAAGATGTATTCCATATAGATAGGTAATCTTCAAACACTTCAAAGTTCTACAGAATATGGCATTTAAATGTATTAATAACTTAGAATTTTGTTGGCATGAGACATGACTGCTCCTGGCAGCACCAATCTGCTCCTGAGAGAATGATGGGCACCAAAGACACTCCTTATGGAGCTTGTTTTCTTCTTGGCAAAACTGGCCTATTGGGCAAAGAACTTCTCTTGCCTCAGCTGATGACAGTAAGCAGTTGTCCAATCTGAACAGCCGGGATACAAGAAAAAGCAACTGCTGAACCTATCCAAGACAGAGTAAGGCAGTCTTTCAAATTGTCCTGCTTCTGAAAAAGGTCTGTCAGATGTTCTAGCCCTATAGCCAAAGTTGGATGCCCCAACACTACAGAGAAACACTGGGTAATTGTCCAGGAAGCCAACTGTTCCTGTCATTTCTTGCATCTTTCAGAAGTCATTTGCTTGCACTTCCTGCTTACTCAGGTAATATTATTCTCTTTCACAGGTCTTTGATGGGGTTGAAGATTAGATAATTACAGTTACAATCTCTCATATCTTATCTAAGGCATATTAGGTACAAGACTTAGACTTTCCAGGACAGGACAGCTATTGGAATAATCTCTGTAATTTGCCAATTACCTATGGCCTGGACATTTACTGTGTGTTTCTTGCTTGATGTTGTTCTTGTTGGTTGTAGTTTCATTTTTGTTTATGTTTCTTCTGCACAATACTTGATAGTTGTTCTTATTGTAAATAGTTCTATATTAGGATTTTTATTTAGGAAATAAAAGGGAAGTGTTGTGGAATTTCAATGCGTTCAGCCAATGACTTTCTGGCAGCAAGCCCTAGGGCATGGTCTTGTCTTAAGAGCTGAGGAAGAGCATCTTGCATGCTATTGCTCTCCAACTCTCTTGGGTGGTCAGAGGAGACAAGGCAGCAGAGAGGCAGCT